CCTCACTCATCCTCCTCTCTCCTTCTCCTCTCCTCTACTTCCTCTCCTTCTCCTCCTCTCCTCCTCCCCTTCTCATCCACCTCTCCTCCTCCTCTCCCTCCTCTCCTCCTCTCTTCCTCTCCTCCTCTCTCCTTCTCTGCCTCTCCTCTACTTCCTCTCCTTCTCCTCCTCTCCTCCTCCCCTTCTCATCCACCTCTCCTCTTCCGCTCTTCCTCTCCTCCTCACTCATCCTCCTCTCTCCTTCTCCTCTCCCTCTCCTCTACTTCCTCTCCTTCTCTCCTCCTCCCCTTCTCATCCACCTCTCCTCCTCCTCTCTCTCCTCTCCTCCTCTCTTCCTCTCCTCCTCTCTCCTTCTCTCCCTCTCCTCTACTTCCTCTCCTTCTCCTCCTCCCCTTCGCATCCACCTCTCCTCTTCCTCTCTTCCTCTCCTCCTCTCTCCTTCTCCTCTCCCTCTCCTCTACTTCCTCTCCTTCTCCTCCTCTCCTCCTCCCCTTCTCATCCTCTTTTTCTCATATGCACCTCCTCTCCGCCTCCTCTCTGGGCGGCACGGTGGCTGAGTAGTTAGCACTCTCACCTCTCAGCAAGCAGGTCCTGGGTTCGAATCCCGGTTGGACCAGGGCCTTTCTGAGTGGAGTTTGCATGTTCTCCCTGTGTCTGCGTAGGTTCCCTCAGGGTGCTCCGGTTTCCCCTACCACTAAAAACAATATCTCTGGCCCCGCTCCCATCTCTGTGTGGAGTGATGCCCAAAAATAACAAATGTAAACCGCTTTGTGACTGATCTGCAGTGAAAAGGCGGTATATAAATAAAGATTACTTACTTATTCTCCTCCTTCTCTCTTTCTCTCCTCCTCTTCTGCTCCTCTCTCTCTCTCTCTTTCTCTCCTCCTCTTCTGCTCCTCTCTCTCTCTCTCTTTCTCTCCTCCTCTTCTGCTCCTCTCTCTCTCTCTCTCTCTTTCTCTCCTCCTCTTCTGCTCCTCTCTCTCTCTCTCTCTCTTTCTCTCCTCCTCTTCTGCTCCTCTCTCTCTCTCTCTTTCTCTCCTCCTCCTCTCAGGACGTGTTGGAGGAGCTGAGCCTACGGCCTGGCTCTCCCTGGGGGCTGTATGTGCGGCTGGGGGCCCCTGAGCTCCTGGGGGCCTCGCTCTCGTCTCTGATGGAGTTTTATCGATCCCAGCGGCTCTACAGACCCGTGTGGATCGGGATGGAGCCAGGACCGGACCTGAGCCAGGAGGTACGGCCCCCAGCCGGACTCTGTCAACACTAGAACCAGAGCAGTCAAAAACAAGTTTTTGACTGCGTTAATGTACATTTGAGGTCTCCATAACTTTGTGACTTTTTATGTGATTATTTTGATATAATTATCTATTTTTATTTTATTTTATTTTTTCGATATGAGAACTTTGACATTTATTAGACCTAAATTTCAAATGTAGGTCCTAGTCCTGCATGGTCCTGGATTTGTCCTGGTTCTGGACTGGTCCCGGTTCTAGACTGGTTCTGGACTGGTTCTGGACTGGTCTTGGTTCTGGACTGGTCTTGGTTTTGGATTGGTCTTGGATCTGAGACGAGTTAGTTGGTTTCCCTGCAGAGAACAGCCAGTGCTACTAACCTTAGTGACACAGAAGTTAGCATTTGGTCTTTAGCATTAGCATCTCAACATTAGCATCTCAACATTAGCATCTCAACATTAGCATCTCACGTTTCACAGATTGTTGATGTTTTGGGACAGACCTGGTTCTTGTTTCTTCCGCAGAAGTTTGTCTCCAGAGTCGAGCAGCTGTTTCCTTACTGCACTATTGTCCTGAACAAGGCTCTCAGGGGCCCAGGCCTGTCCCAGAGAGTGGCCCTGCACCTGCCCCTGGACCCTCTGGACCCTCTGAACCCTCTGGACCTGGACCCTCTGAACCCTCTGGACCTGGACCCTCTGGACCCTCTCTCCTCGTACGATGTGATTGTGGAGACCGACACAGTGTCCTCTGCACAGATGTCACGACTGAAGCAGAAACACAAACACGTTTATGTCTTTAAACCCTGAGGAGCAGTGTTTTTGACTTGATCTATTTCTAATGTTTAAAAGTTCACACTCTCAGGAACAACTGAGTTTGTTAATGACATGAACGACACACAACTCTGTCACTGTTAGAGTTTGAAGACGTAGATAATGAAACTAAACTTGTTTTATATTTATCAAAGGACGTGTCCATCGCCTTGTTCTCAACATGTGTGTAGAGTGTGTGTGTGTATGTGTATATGTGTGGGTAGAAAATGTGTACGTGTTTGTGTGTAAATATGTGTGTAGAGTGTGTATATGTGTGTAGAGTGTGTATATGTGTGTAGACTGTATTTACATGTGTGTAGAGTGTGTATATGTGTGTAGAGTGTGTATATGTTTGTAGACTGTATTTACATGTGTGTAGAGTGTATATATGTGTGTAGAGTGTGTGTGTGTGTATGTATATGTGTGTGTGTACGTGTGTGTGTGTGTGTGTGTGTGTGTGTGTGTGTGTGTGTGTGTGTGTGTGTGTGCACTTGTTTTCAACTCCTGGTGGGTTCCATAACCTGAGATTCCACTCACGTCATGGGGACTGGTTTTACGTGGTGGGGCCCGAACACCGGACCCCACTGGTCCAAGCTTAATAATCAATGGGTAATGCTTTTCTAACGGTCCTTATGCAGTCTCTGTAAAAATATGGAAAGGACCCCTGGAGGTTTACTTTCCTGAAAAAAGTGTGTTATGTGTCGGAACCCTGGTGGTGGGTTGCGGAATATCAAGGAGGGGCACACTGGGGCAATTTCAGTCCAGCAGGCTGGAGCCAATCATGGAGCAGCACAACAGAGGCTGGAGCCAATCATGGAGCAGCACAACAGAGGCTGGAGCCAATCATGGAGCAGCACAACAGAGGAAATCAGGTGTCAGGCTAGAAAAGGTGCAAGTGTGTGGTTCATTAGGCTGCAGCCAATCACAGAGCAGCACACTGAAGCGCACGCTTACAAACCACTGGTAAGTGCTGACTACAAGTCATGACTTCAAATTGTTATATAGAATTATTACAAATTATTTGTTGTTTGTGCAGCTTAGTCAAGAGTCCCTAATTGATGAAGTCGACTCAGATTCTGACGATTTAACTGTCAAGAAGAAACCTGTAAAAAAGTATGGAAAAAGAAAAATCCAAAACACTTTTCTTCAAGACTCGGAAAGTGACGAATCAAAGGCAAATAAGATTGTTATCATGCAGCTGCAAAAGAAGAAAAATGGGGGGCGAGTTTACAGCAAGAGACACTTCTGCCTCTACTGTTCAATGTCCTGCCACAAAATGTCCCGTCATTTGACTAGAAAACATGGAAATGAAAGTGACGTAGCCAGAGCATTGGCTCTACCTGTGAAATCTAAAGCACGTAAACTTCAGTTTGATTTGATCAGGAATAGTGGAAACCGTGAGCACAATTTTGAGGTTTTAAAGGCCGGCATTGGAACTTTAGTCCCAGCTAAACAGCCAAATTGCCCAGTTAAATCCAGTGAGTTTTTGCACTGTATAGACTGTGGGGCATTGCTTAAGCGAAAGTCGCTGTGGAGGCATGTGGCCAGGTGCCGGCTTTCACAGAAAGATGCCCAGGCTAAACCAGGTAGAAGTAGGGTCCAGTCCCTCTGCTCCCTAGCCCAGCCTGTACCGGAGGGCATCAGCAAAAAGCTGTGGTCTTTAATTTGGGCAATGCATCAGGATGAGGTCACGGGTGTTGTCAAAGCAGAAAAGGGGATTCTGAGACTCGGAGAGCACCTGTACTTAAAACACGGGCATGATAAGACTAAGCATGATTACATCAGGCAGAAAATGAGAGAAGTCGGTAGGTTAATTAACGAAGCAAAAACTGCAGGGAAACTGAAAACAATTAAGGATTTCTTTATTCCTTCCAACTTTAACCATGTGATTGATGCAGTCAGGTCTGTGGCTGGATATGATGAGGAAACAAATCAATACAAGACTCCATCCTTGGCCCTCAAACTCGGCCATAGCCTCAGAAAGCTAGCAGATATTCTTGAATGTGACTCAAAAATGGAGCATTGTGTTGATGAACTATTTATTAAAAACCTCCAACGAAGCCGGCTGCTTTTTGAGAAGAGGTGGGACGTCTGTGTTTCTTCTGCTGCCCTACAGACCCTCCGGCAAGCCAAGTGGAACACTCCGGACCTGCTCCCTCTGACTGAGGACGTTAGAGCCATGCATGCACATATTGAGGTATGTCGACCTGAATATGTGCAAACCCTAATAAGTGAGCCAACGTCTAAGCATTGGTCTAAACTGGCAGTTTTGACTCTTTGTGAGGTCATCATTTTCAATCGAAGAAGGGAAGGTGAGGTTTCAAAGATGCCACTGACAGCCTTTACCTTAAGAAGTAAGACTGGGATCCATTCTGACATTGCTCTGGGACTGTCCCAACTTGAGAAAAAGCTGTGTCAGCATTTTCAACGCATTGAAATTAAAGGGAAAAGAAGTCGGAAAGTGCCGGTTCTTTTGACTCCTGAAATGATTGCTTCGATGGAGGTGCTGGTGGAGAACAGAAGGGCCTGTTCCATCTCTGACCATAACCCATACTTCTTTTCCCGCCCGGGCGCAGACACCCACATCAGGGGATCAGACTCCCTACGCCAGGTAGCCAAAGAATGTGGTGCGGTGCATCCAGAGATGCTATCCTCAACCAAACTTAGAAAGCACATAGCTACTATGTCTACAGTTCTCAATATGAAAGAGAATGAGATGGACATACTTGCCAACTTCCTCGGCCATGACATTCGCATCCACAGGCAATATTACAGACTACCAGAGGGGACACTGGAGCTGGCCAAAATCAGCAAAGTGTTGATGGCCATGGAGCAGGGAAGAGTGACGGAATTCGAAGGAAAGAGCCTCGACCAGATACAAATTGAGCCTGAAGGTAATTCTTGATATTATTAAAATATGTATGATTTTTTTCCCCTAAAGGCCACTTGTATTTTTATTTTCTGTGCGACAGGGAGAGCAGTAGAGATCCTCTCACAAACGGACGGGCTAAAAGAAACTTCAAGCGGAGAACCTTCAACCATTCATCCAGATGCACCCCATGGTAGTGGCAGTGCCCCTTCTGGTAAGTGTACCAGGTGGGGGATTACAGCCAGGCTGCTTGGTCCTAACCCTGGGAGTGTATATTGCTAATATATTTTTATTTCTCTCCCTAGAACGTTAGAGAAAGCCATGGTCTGCATCTGAGGTGAAGGCTGTGGAGAAGACCATGACACCTTTCATACAGACTGGAAAGGTCCCTGGGAAGTCTCACTGCCTGGCCTGGCCTGGCCTGGCCTGCATTAATGCCTCACCAGATGACCTTAGACATCGGACATGGAGTGGCATTAAATTCTATGTCAAAAATAGAATCACTGCAATTCGAAAAAAAAATCTAAAATAAAATTCCTTTAAAAGAGTTGTTTGTTTTCTATTGACTGTTATGTATTACTTAAAGTAGTCCCAGTAAAAAAAGATTATGTCTATGGGTCCCATTCTGAACGGCCCTGTCAAAGGGACCCACCAGGTAACAAAAACGTGTGTGTGTGTGTGTGTGTGTAGGATAGAGTCCAGTTTAAAAGTTTCCTCCTTGGTCCTGGATCTTTTTTTACTAATGAACTTTTGTTAATCACTATAAATTGGATGAACAGCCAAAGAAACTCAAAATACACAAACTTCAGACGCACTGCTGCAGTTTTGAGATAAGAACCAGCTGTGTGCGATATATAAATAAATACATATACACACATGAGGTGTACAGTATGTGTTTGTATGAACTGTGGCAATCCCCCTCCAGGGCTTTCTCAGGACTAGAACGAGACAGAGCTACTTTCTCAGGACTAGAACGAGACAGAGCTACTTTCTCAGGACTAGAATGAGACAGAGCTACTTTCTCAGGACTAGGATGAGACAGAGCTACTTTCTCAGGACTAGAATGAGACAGAGCTACTTTCTCAGGACTAGAACGAGACAGAGCTACTTTCTCAGGACTAGAACGAGACAGAGCTACTTTCTCAGGACTAGAATGAGAGCTACTTTCTCAGGACTAGAATGAGACAGAGCTACTTTCTCAGGACTAGAACGAGAGCTACTTTCTCAGGACTAGAACGAGACAGAACTAACCCTTTAAGTTAATTACTATCAACAGTCATATTTTTAGTTTAATTTACAACTATTTTTCAAATTTAAGAATATTTATGTCTAATTTTTCTTTCCCACTTTACACAATGTGTCTTTCATCACAAAAACTTGATTATAATAAAAAGCCACAACTAAGCTAAAATGTTAAGAGTCAAAAGTCAGTCTCATAAACATTACCTTTAAAAAGACCCAACGAAACAGACATTATAATATTTATTTATTTATTTGATCATTAGTCTCGGCCTCAGTCCAGTCTTTACAAACTGCTTTAAAAAGGTGCAGTCATTATAATGTAGAAAAGAAATACAAAAACATTGCCCCAACCCCAGATAGAAATAACATCCTAATATAATCTAGTGTATATTTATATATTTATATATTACATCCAGCAAAGTGTAGAGTTTCCCCGAGTACCAGGAAGAAGGCACTGATCCCAGAAGCACCAGAACACGTCTGAATCACTGCTCTGTGTGAAGCTGCTCTTTTCCTTTAGTTCCTCATCGGCAAAACAAGTACGTCACGATAAAACCTCAGACAATCTTCACTAAATCAAAAACCCAGGCCAGAAACTCACCATTATTGTGATTTTTGACTAATTCTGCGATTATTACAAAAGCAAACTCAAGAGAGATGCTCCGGAGAATGTCTTATTTGATTAAAAACACATCGTAAACACATTTTAATCTCATTCTGCAGGTTTTGTCAAATGATCCGAGTCCTAAAAGCTCTTCTCAGCCTCCACGGAAGGTTCTATTTAAGTCCACGGAAGGTTCTCTTTAAGTCCACGGAAGGTTCTATTTAAGTCCATGGAAGGTTCTCTTTAAGTCCATGGAAGGTTCTCTTTAAGTCCATGGAAGGTTCTCTTTTAAGTCCATCGAAGGTTCTATTTAAGTCCATGGAAGGTTCTCTTTAAGTCCATGGAAGGTTCTCTTTAAGTCCATGGAAGGTTCTCTTTTAAGTCCATCGAAGGTTCTATTTAAGTCCATGGAAGGTTCTCTTTTAGGTCCATGGAAGGTTCTCTTTAAGTCCATGGAAGGTTCTCTTTAAGTCCATGGAAGGTTCTCTTTAAGTCCATGGAAGGTTCTCTTTAAGTCATGGAAGGTTCTATTTAAGTCCATGGAAGGTTCTCTTTAAGTCCATCGAAGGTTCTATTTAAGTCCACGGAAGGTTCTCTTTAAGTCCATGGAAGGTTCTATTTAAGTCCATGGAAGGTTCTATTTAAGTCCATCGAAGGTTCTATTTAAGTCCATGGAGGGTTCTAGACTTGGTTCTCTGAGTGTACAGTGCTGCGGTCGCTGTAGTGAAGAGGGAGCAGCGTCTACAGTCAAAGCTCCACGTCCACCACCATCACCACTGGTCCTGACGGTTGCAAGCGGAGAGGGGCTGCTCCGGGAGCTCAGTCACACAGGAGGAGCTCGGAGTAGAGACGCTGCTCCTCCACGTGGAGAGGAGCCAGTGGAGGTGGTTCAGGCGTGTGTTTGGGATGCCACCTGGATGACTCTCTGGGAGGATGTTCTGGGCCTGTCCCACTGGGAGGAGACCAGACCAGGACCAGACCCAGGACCAGACCAGACCCAGGACCAGACCCAGGACCCAGAGCGAGTGTCTCTGAGCAGGGGACGCCTCAGGATTCCCCCAGCTGCAGGAGGTGTGAGGAGAGAAGTCTGGGCAGTTCATATATATTACTTCCTGTATCTTCTATTTTATCTCATTATTTTAACTTTGTATTATCATGACTGTTTTATTGATTATTATACTGACTGTGCAGCGCTTTGTAATAATGTGTAATAATAAGTGCTTTACAAAAAATAAGTGCTTTACAAAAAAATATTATTTCATTATTATTATTATTATTATTTTTAGATTTCTCTCTTTTTTATTGTATTTATTCCAAAAATATTTTATTACGTTTTCCAATGCCGCCCCCACAACACGGCAACGGATGAAGCAGAAGAAAACGGATGGATGATGATGACTAACTGCTGATAAAGATTAGTCATGTGGACAAAACAGGAAAAAAGTCCATCCAGATCTGGCGCCCGCGTTCACCGTCTACAGCGGCGTGCTGGAGATGAGGCGTTCGAAGTCGCCCTCAGACGTCTGGCTCTCGTTGCTCTCGTGGCTCTCGGTTCTCTCCGGCGGTGGCGGCGGCGGAGCAGAGTCCCGGTGCTGGCTCAGGAACCGGCGACAGGCACAGAAGTTATGGTAGAAGGAGGAGGAGAGCCCCGCCACGTCTGTGGAGATCAGAGGCAGCAGCAGCTCGGCCGACGCTTGGTTGTAATACGAGATCTGAGCACGGCACAACGAGAAAAGATACACAAAACAGTTTAGGAGGGAAATTATGGAGAAAAACATGAAAAAAATGATTAAGACAAAACCAGAATCTTAATAAGTCTAAAGTAAAAAGTCTTTCATAATTAGATATTTTTTTATTTTTTATTTAGAGCTCAGAGCGGCAGAATGTGGACAGAATGTACTTTCTTCTCAAGAGTGCTGCGGGTTTAGAATGTTCTGGAAAGTGTCAGCGACAGTGTTCATGGTTTTGCACTGGTCCAGACCAGAGCAGAGAGGGTTCATGGTCCCAACCAAGGACCATGAACCAAGGACCATGAACCAAGGACCATGAACCAAGGGACCCAGGCGAAAACCCACTGGAGGAATGCTAACTTTTTGAAAAATGCAAATGAAGTTTTCAGCATTTTACTTTGGAACAGAGCAGAGAAAATGATCCGAACCAAGAGGCTACTCCACCTTGTGACCCGTCCTGCTCCACCCAGAGGCTACTCCACCTCTGCTGCTGTGACCTGTCCTGCTCCACCCAGAGGCTACTCCACCTCTGCTGCTGTGACCTGTCCTGCTCCACCCAAAGCCTACTCCACCTCTGCTGCTGTGACCTGTCCTGCTCCACCCAGAGGCTACTCCACCTCTGCTGCTGTGACCTGTCCTGCTCCACCCAGAGGCTACTCCACCTCTGCTGCTGTGACCTGTCCTGCTCCACCCAGAGGCTACTCCACCTCTGCTGCTGTGACCCGTCCTGCTCCACCCAGAGGCTACTCCACCTCTGCTGCTGTGACCAGTCCTGCTCCACCCAGAGGCTACTCCACCTCTGCTGCTGTGACCCGTCCTGCTCCACCCAGAGGCTACTCCACCTCTGCTGCTGTGACCCGTCCTGCTCCACCCAGAGGCTACTCCACCTCTGCTGCTGTGACCCGTCCTGCTCCACCCAGAGGCTACTCCACCTCTGCTGCTGTGACCTGTCCTGCTCCACCCAGAGGCTACTCCACCTCTGCTGCTGTGACCTGTCCTGCTCCACCCAGAGGCTACTCCACCTCTGCTGCTGTGACCCGTCCTGCTCCACCCAGAGGCTACTCCACCTCTGCTGCTGTGACCTGTCCTGCTCCACCCAGAGGCTACTCCACCTCTGCTGCTGTGACGCGTCCTGCTCCACCCAGAGGCTACTCCACCTCTGCTGCTGTGACCTGTCCTGCTCCACCCAGAGGCTACTCCACCTCTGCTGCATTTTATTACTATTGTTAGCTTTTTAGATTTAGCCATGTATTTGTTTTGTTTGTTTGTTTGGATGTTTTCTACTGCTGCTGGACACCTGAATGTCTCCTACGAGGGAGTATATACTTTATAGTTCAGAAATTACAGTAGTTTTATACATTATCTTTTATTTCAGAGGCAAAATATATTCTGAAAAAATGAGTCCAAGTGAAAAGACAGATGATCCAGGACACTCCACAGTCAACGTTTATCGGTCTCTGCCTCTCAACCAACAACCAACATCTCTGTGTGTTTTTTATCAATACATTTCTGTTTAAATAGTTTTATTCTCTGATCTGTTGTCGGCGAACTCCACAGTTTTGTAAAGTCGTCTGAGAAAACGACTGCTGTGATTTAGTCCGATAGACGGTGTGTTACCAGAGCCGAGTGGGGGGAGGTCTGCAGGATGGTGAAGCCGGCACACAGCACCTCTCCTCGGGTGAAGGGCTCCATGGGGGGGTGGGTGGGGAGGGTGACGGAGCGCAGGGCGATCACGTACGGGTCACTGCGGAGGAGGACACACAATAAACACACACAGGACCACTCTGCAAGGAAGGGACTGGAACTGTAGTCTGGAATGTATCGATTTTATGGTTTGTGATTTCATATGATGCGAAAGAGAGATTTATTGTCTGTGAGAAGTGTGAGGTTTTGTTTATGGTATCGTATGATATTGTAAGGGTATCGTATCAAATCGTATCGGATAGTAAGGGTATCGTATCGGATAGTAAGGGTATCGTATCAAATCGTATTGGATAGTAAGGGTATCGTATCGGATAGTAAGGGTATCGTATCAAATCGTATCGGATAGTAAGGGTATCGTATCAAATCGTATCGGATAGTAAGGGTATCGTATCAAATCGTGTCGGATAGTAAGGGTATCGTATCAAATCGTATCGGATAGTAAGGGTATCGTATCAAATCGTATCGGATAGTAAGGGTATCGTATCAAATCGTGTCGGATAGTAAGGGTATCGTATCAAATCGTATCGGATAGTAAGGGTATCGTATCAAATCGTATCGGATAGTAAGGGTATCGTATCAAATCGTGTCGGATAGTAAGGGTATCGTATCAAATCGTGTCCGATAGTAAGGGTATCGTATCAAATCGTATCGGATAGTAAGGGTATCGTATCAAATCGTGTCGGATAGTAAGGGTATCGTATCAAATCGTATCGGATAGTAAGGGTATCGTATCAAATCGTGTCGGATAGTAAGGGTATCGTATCAAATCGTGTCGGATAGTAAGGGTATCGTATCAAATCGTGTCGGATAGTAAGGGTATCGTATCAAATCGTGTCGGATAGTAAGGGTATCGTATCAAATCGTGTCGGATAGTAAGGGTATCGTATCAAATCGTATCGGATAGATCACGTACGGGTCACTGCGGAGGAGGACACACAATAAACACACACAGGACCACTCTGCAAGGAAGGGACTGGAACTGTAGTCTGGAATGTATCGATTTTATGGTTTGTGATTTCATATGATGCGAAAGAGAGATTTATTGTCTGTGAGAAGTGTGAGGTTTTGTTTATGGTATCGTATGATATTGTAAGGGTATCGTATCAAATCGTATCGGATAGTAAGGGTATCGTATCGGATAGTAAGGGTATCGTATCAAATCGTATTGGATAGTAAGGGTATCGTATCGGATAGTAAGGGTATCGTATCAAATCGTATCGGATAGTAAGGGTATCGTATCAAATCGTATCGGATAGTAAGGGTATCGTATCAAATCGTGTCGGATAGTAAGGGTATCGTATCAAATCGTATCGGATAGTAAGGGTATCGTATCAAATCGTATCGGATAGTAAGGGTATCGTATCAAATCGTGTCGGATAGTAAGGGTATCGTATCAAATCGTATCGGATAGTAAGGGTATCGTATCAAATCGTATCGGATAGTAAGGGTATCGTATCAAATCGTGTCGGATAGTAAGGGTATCGTATCAAATCGTATCGGATAGTAAGGGTATCGTATCAAATCGTATCGGATAGTAAGGGTATCGTATCAAATCGTGTCGGATAGTAAGGGTATCGTATCAAATCGTATCGGATAGTAAGGGTATCGTATCAAATCGTGTCGGATAGTAAGGGTATCGTATCAAATCGTGTCGGATAGTAAGGGTATCGTATCAAATCGTGTCGGATAGTAAGGGTATCGTATCAAATCGTGTCGGATAGTAAGGGTATCGTATCAAATCGTGTCGGATAGTAAGGGTATCGTATCAAATCGTATCGGATAGTAAGGGTATCGTATCAAATCGTATCGGATAGTAAGGGTATCGTATCAAATCGTATCGGATAGTAAGGGTATCGTATCAAATCGTGTCGGATAGTAAGGGTATCGTATCAAATCGTGTCGGATAGTAAGGGTATCGTATCAAATCGTGTCGGATAGTAAGGGTATCGTATCAAATCGTATCGGATAGTAAGGGTATCGTATCAAATCGTATCGGATAGTAAGGGTATCGTATCAAATCGTATCGGATAGTAAGGGTATCGTATCAAATCGTATCGGATAGTAAGGGTATCGTATCAAATCGTGTCGGATAGTAAGGGTATCGTATCAAATCGTGTCGGATAGTAAGGGTATCTTATCAAATCGTGTCGGATGGTAAGGGTATCGTATCAAATCGTGTCGGATAGTAAGGGTATCGTATCAAATCGTGTCGGATAGTAAGGGTATCGTATCAAATCGTGTCGGATAGTAAGGGTATCGTATCAAATCGTGTCGGATAGTAAGGGTATCGTATCAAATCGTGTCGGATAGTAAGGGTATCGTATCAAATCGTATCGGATAGTAAGGGTATCGTATCAAATCGTATCGGATAGTAAGGGTATCGTATCAAATCGTATCGGATAGTAAGGGTATCGTATCAAATCGTATCGGATAGTAAGGGTATCGTATCAAATCGTATCGGATAGTAAGGGTATCGTATCAAATCGTGTCGGATAGTAAGGGTATCGTATCAAATCGTATCGGATAGTAAGGGTATCGTATCAAATCGTATCGGATAGTAAGGGTATCGTATCAAATCGTATCGGATAGTAAGGGTATCGTATCAAATCGTATCGGATAGTAAGGGTATCGTATCAAATCGTATCGGATAGTAAGGGTATCGTATCAAATCGTATCGGATAGTAAGGGTATCGTATCAAATCGTATCAATATCGTATAAATCGTATCGGATAGTAAGGGTATCGTATCAAATCGTATCGGATAGTAAGGGTATCGTATCAATCGTATCGGATAGTAAGGGTATCGTATCAAATCGTCGGATAGTAAGGGTATCGTATCAAATCGTGTCGGATAGTAAGGGTATCGTATCAAATCGTATCGGATAGTAAGGGTATCGTATCAAATCGTATCGGATAGTAAGGGTATCGTATCAAATCGTATCGGATAGTAAGGGTATCGTATCAAATCGTGTCGGATAGTAAGGGTATCGTATCGGATAGTAAGGGTATCGTATCAAATCGTATTGGATAGTAAGGGTATCGTATCGGATAGTAAGGGTATCGTATCAAATCGTATCGGATAGTAAGGGTATCGTATCAAATCGTATCGGATAGTAAGGGTATCGTATCAAATCGTGTCGGATAGTAAGGGTATCGTATCAAATCGTATCGGATAGTAAGGGTATCGTATCAAATCGTATCGGATAGTAAGGGTATCGTATCAAATCGTGTCGGATAGTAAGGGTATCGTATCAAATCGTATCGGATAGTAAGGGTATCGTATCAAATCGTATCGGATAGTAAGGGTATCGTATCAAATCGTGTCGGATAGTAAGGGTATCGTATCAAATCGTATCGGATAGTAAGGGTATCGTATCAAATCGTATCGGATAGTAAGGGTATCGTATCAAATCGTGTCGGATAGTAAGGGTATCGTATCAAATCGTATCGGATAGTAAGGGTATCGTATCAAATCGTGTCGGATAGTAAGGGTATCGTATCAAATCGTGTCGGATAGTAAGGGTATCGTATCAAATCGTGTCGGATAGTAAGGGTATCGTATCAAATCGTGTCGGATAGTAAGGGTATCGTATCAAATCGTGTCGGATAGTAAGGGTATCGTATCAAATCGTATCGGATAGTAAGGGTATCGTATCAAATCGTATCGGATAGTAAGGGTATCGTATCAAATCGTATCGGATAGTAAGGGTATCGTATCAAATCGTGTCGGATAGTAAGGGTATCGTATCAAATCGTGTCGATAGTAAGGGTATCGTATCAAATCGTGTCGGATAGTAAGGGTATCGTATCAAATCGTGTCGGATAGTAAGGGTATCGTATCAAATCGTATCGGATAGTAAGGGTATCGTATCAAATCGTATCGGATAGTAAGGGTATCGTATCAAATCGTATCGGATAGTAAGGGTATCGTATCAAATCGTGTCGGATAGTAAGGGTATCGTATCAAATCGTATCGGATAGTAAGGGTATCGTATCAAATCGTGTCGGATAGTAAGGGTATCGTATCAAATCGTGTCGGATAGTAAGGGTATCGTATCAAATCGTATCGGATAGTAAGGGTATCGTATCAAATCGTATCGGATAGTAAGGGTATCGTATCAAATCGTATCGGATAGTAAGGGTATCGTATCAAATCGTGTCGGATAGTAAGGGTATCGTATCAAATCGTGTCGGATAGTAAGGGTATCGTATCAAATCGTGTCGGATAGTAAGGGTATCGTATCAAATCGTGTCGGATAGTAAGGGTATCGTATCAAATCGTGTCGGATAGTAAGGGTATCGTATCAAATCGTGTCGGATAGTAAGGGTATCGTATCAAATCGTGTCGGATAGTAAGGGTATCGTATCAAATCGTGTCGGATAGTAAGGGTATCGTATCAAATCGTATCGGATAGTAAGGGTATCGTATCAAATCGTATCGGATAGTAAGGGTATCGTATCAAATCGTATCGGATAGTAAGGGTATCGTATCAAATCGTATCGGATAGTAAGGGTATCGTATCAAATCGTATCGGATAGTAAGGGTATCGTATCAAATCGTGTCGGATAGTAAGGGTATCGTATCAAATCGTGTCGGATAGTAAGGGTATCGTATCAAATCGTGTCGGATAGTAAGGGTATCGTATCAAATCGTATCGGATAGTAAGGGTATCGTATCAAATCGTGTCGGATAGTAAGGGTATCGTATCAAATCGTGTCGGATAGTAAGGGTATCGTATCAAATCGTGTCGGATAGTAAGGGTATCGTATCAAATCGTATCGGATAGTAAGGGTATCGTATCAAATCGTATCGGATAGTAAGGGTATCGTATCAAATCGTATCGGATAGTAAGGGTATCGTATCAAATCGTGTCGGATAGTAAGGGTATCGTATCAAATCGTGTCGGATAGTAAGGGTATCGTATCAAATCGTATCGGATAGTAAGGGTATCGTATCAAATCGTGTCGGATAGTAAGGGTATCGTATCAAATCGTATCGGATAGTAAGGGTATCGTATCAAATCGTATCGGATAGTAAGGGTATCGTATCAAATCGTATCGGATAGTAAGGGTATCGTATCAAATCGTGTCGGATAGTAAGGGTATCGTATCAAATCGTATCGGATAGTAAGGGTATCGTATCAAATCGTATCGGATAGTAAGGGTATCGTATCAAATCGTGTCGGATAGTAAGGGTATCGTATCAAATCGTGTCGGATAGTAAGGGTATCGTATCAAATCGTATCGGATAGTAAGGGTATCGTATCAAATCGTATCGGATAGTAAGGGTATCGTATCAAATCGTATCGGATAGTAAGGGTATCGTATCAAATCGTGTCGGATAGTAAGGGTATCGTATCGGATAGTAAGGGTATCGTATCAAATCGTATTGGATAGTAAGGGTATCGTATCGGATAGTAAGGGTATCGTATCAAATCGTATCGGATAGTAAGGGTATCGTATCAAATCGTATCGGATAGTAAGGGTATCGTATCAAATCGTGTCGGATAGTAAGGGTATCGTATCAAATCGTATCGGATAGTAAGGGTATCGTATCAAATCGTATCGGATAGTAAGGGTATCGTATCAAATCGTGTCGGATAGTAAGGGTATCGTATCAAATCGTATCGGATAGTAAGGGTATCGTATCAAATCGTATCGGATAGTAAGGGTATCGTATCAAATCGTGTCGGATAGTAAGGGTATCGTATCAAATCGTATCGGATAGTAAGGGTATCGTATCAAATCGTATCGGATAGTAAGGGTATCGTATCAAATCGTGTCGGATAGTAAGGGTATCGTATCAAATCGTATCGGATAGTAAGGGTATCGTATCAAATCGTGTCGGATAGTAAGGGTATCGTATCAAATCGTGTCGGATAGTAAGGGTATCGTATCAAATCGTGTCGGATAGTAAGGGTATCGTATCAAATCGTGTCGGATAGTAAGGGTATCGTATCAAATCGTGTCGGATAGTAAGGGTATCGTATCAAATCGTATCGGATAGTAAGGGTATCGTATCAAATCGTATCGGATAGTAAGGGTATCGTATCAAATCGTATCGGATAGTAAGGGTATCGTATCAAATCGTGTTGGATAGTAAGGGTATCGTATCAAATCGTGTCGATAGTAAGGGTATCGTATCAAATCGTGTCGGATAGTAAGGGTATCGTATCAAATCGTGTCGGATAGTAAGGGTATCGTATCAAATCGTATCGGATAGTAAGGGTATCGTATCAAATCGTATCGGATAGTAAGGGTATCGTATCAAATCGTATCGGATAGTAAGGGTATCGTATCAAATCGTGTTGGATAGTAAGGGTATCGTATCAAATCGTATCGATAGTAAGGGTATCGTATCAAATCGTGTCGGATAGTAAGGGTATCGTATCAAATCGTATCGGATAGTAAGGGTATCGTATCAAATCGTATCGGATAGTAAGGGTATCGTATCAAATCGTATCGGATAGTAAGGGTATCGTATCAAATCGTATCGGATAGTAAGGGTATCGTATCAAATCGTGTCGGATAGTAAGGGTATCGTATCAAATCGTGTCGGATAGTAAGGGTATCGTATCAAATCGTGTCGGATGGTAAGGGTATCGTATCAAATCGTGTCGGATAGTAAGGGTATCGTATCAAATCGTGTCCGATAGTAAGGGTATCGTATCAAATCGTGTCGGATAGTAAGGGTATCGTATCAAATCGTGTCGGATAGTAAGGGTATCGTATCAAATCGTGTCGGATAGTAAGGGTATCGTATCAAATCGTATCGGATAGTAAGGGTATCGTATCAAATCGTATCGGATAGTAAGGGTATCGTATCAAATCGTATCGGATAGTAAGGGTATTGTATCAAATCGTGTCGGATAGTAAGGGTATCGTATCAAATCGTGTCGGATAGTAAGGGTATCGTATCAAATCGTGTCGGATAGTAAGGGTATCGTATCAAATCGTATCGGATAGTAAGGGTATCGTATCAAATCGTATCGGATAGTAAGGGTATCGTATCAAATCGTATCGGATAGTAAGGGTATCGTATCAAATCGTGTCGGATAGTAAGGGTATCGTATCAAATCGTGTCGGATAGTAAGGGTATCGTATCAAATCGTATCGGATAGTAAGGGTATCGTATCAAATCGTATCGGATAGTAAGGGTATCGTATCAAATCGTATCGGATAGTAAGGGTATCGTATCAAATCGTGTCGGATAGTAAGGGTATCGTATCAAATCGTGTCGGATAGTAAGGGTATCGTATCAAATCGTATCGGATAGTAAGGGTATTGTATCAAATCGTGTCGGATAGTAAGGGTATCGTATCAAATCGTATCGGATAGTAAGGGTATCGTATCAAATCGTATCGGATAGTAAGGGTATCGTATCAAATCGTATCGGATAGTAAGGGTATCGTATCAAATCGTGTCGGATAGTAAGGGTATCGTATCAAATCGTATCGGATAGTAAGGGTATCGTATCAAATCGTATCGGATAGTAAGGGTATCGTATCAAATCGTGTCGGATAGTAAGGGTATCGTATCAAATCGTGTCGGATAGTAAGGGTATCGTATCAAATCGTATCGGATAGTAAGGGTATCGTATCAAATCGTGTCGGATAGTAAGGGTATCGTATCAAATCGTATCGGATAGTAAGGGTATCGTATCAAATCGTATCGGATAGTAAGGGTATCGTATCGAATCGTATCGGATAGTAAGGGTATCGTATCAAATCGTATCGGATAGTAAGGGTATCGTATCAAATCGTATCGGATATCGTATCGGATAGTAAGGGTATCGTATCAAATCGTGTCGGATAGTAAGGGTATCGTA